TTTGCCTGCAACAGTTATTACTGTGGCATTTACCTATTGGTGCTTTTCTATTTCTAGAATTCCTTTTACATTTATTAGTTGGAATTCTACCATAAAGAAGAGCTGTCCAGGGCTGGCCCCATGGCTTAGTGGTTAAACAAGCCAGATTCCACATGAGCACCTGCATTTCGAATCCTGGCCCTGGGAAAAAAGGCTTGGGAAAAAACATGCAAGGAGTGTGTGCATGAACGCATGCTCCAATGCCCAACAGGTGGAGGAACGGAGGGGAGGGAACTGTATCACGGCCATGCCCACCGGGGGTGCTGCCTCCCTCTCCATTTCTCTGTCTCTGTCTAAGAAGTGCACATGGCCTCTGGCAGTGACAAAAAATTAAGTAAGAACTGTCCCTTCTCCCTCATTTATTTATTCGTTCAATTATTTATGTTAATATACACTCATAGTTATTTTGTTTTATGGGTTATAATCTATTACTTTTATTTATTCATTATTCTTTATTTTTTAATTGCCAGAGGGCATGTTTTTCAAGCCATTGGAGCCAGAATTGGAACCATGGTTGGCCCTGTGAGATCCAGCTCCCTTAACCACTAAGCCACAGGGCTGGCTTTCATAATCCATTACTTTTGTTATTTATCTTGTTATAGAATTTTTTTTGAGAGGTTTTTGCTATAGGGCACATGCACTCACCAGAAAGACAGAGAGAGACAGAGAGACAGAAAGCAAGAAATCACCCCCGAGGGGAGATGGCCATGCCACAATCCCTTCTCCTCCATTCTCCTCTCAGAATCTTGGGCAAGCATACACACACGCCTGGTGTGAGTTTAAGGCACAGAGTCTGGGATTTGAACTGTAGTCGACTACATGGGAGTCTAGCAACATAGCCAGTATGCCAACTGCTAATCCCCTGTTGTAGAATTTTTAAAAAAGAATTATTTATTTTAATTTTATTTATTCTTATTATTTTTAACATTTGCTACCGGGAGCATGTGCTCACCAGAGAAAAAGAGAAAGAGGGAAAGTGAGAAAGCAAGCCACCAGGTCTGGGACTTGAACCACGATCGACTATGGGGGAGTCCAGTCCCTTAACCACTGTGCCACCTGCTGGCCTCAGTAGAATGTTTTTTATTATGAAAGTTGGATTTCACAAGATGGCAGAGAGCTTAGGCCTACTTCTCTTATTTGGGGGAGGAGGAGATGAGAGACAGGGAGCGGCATGTCTTGCCCAAGGTCCTCTGTACAGGGCAAGATAATGACATAGCCAGGTGACCCTCAGACACATGTGACTCCATCATCACTGCTGTTTAGAGTTACTGCTTCCCAGAAATGTCACTCACCTAATCCAGAGCCACCCAGCCACTCAACGGCTTCTCTGTTCTGTCCTCCAAGGACCTCCTGGTGTTGAGCGCATGAGTGACAGAGGCAGAGTTGCTGCCACAGCGAGAAGAAGCCAGAACCAGCCCAGAAAGCCTCTGCCCGGACACAAGCTCTCGACCTGCGTCCTTTCAGCCCCCACGACAAGCCCCACCCCATCCCGCCAACCCTCTTCTCCTCACGCACCCCACCCCAGAAAGGATGCAGCCACCGTCCCATGGACAAACCAGGACATCCACAGTCGGCTCCAGCAGGGGGAGAGGTGTCACCAGAGGACTGAGGCCTCGCGGACCCCTAGCCACTCCACATTGTGTACTTCACGCTTTCAATAAAAGATTCCACTTCCCTGCAGTCGGGGCATCTCCACGACAGGCCCTCCCTCAGGGTCGGAGTGGCTTTTTCCCTCCTGTCTGTGCCTAGATCCCCAGCAGTTGTCGCTTCAGCCGGCCAGAGGGTGGTTCAGTCCATGGATGAAAAATGTCAGGCACGGAAGGGCCCACGGAGGAGCAGACAGAAGCCAGCATTCAGCTCTCCTTGCCCTTGTTCTGCACTCACTTGGGCTAGTCTCTCTTGCCTCCGTTTCCCCCGCTTCTCAGCACCTGGGGAGGCAGGACTCAGGAGCAGTGAGTTCGGGATCATCAGGTTCATGCTGCCCGCAGGACTGTGCCATTTTGACAAACATCTCCTCCCTTCAACTTTTAGGTGCCTCCCCTCTTCCTCTTCAGTTTTCCCAGCTTGTGCCTTGGCAGGTCCTGAAGGATGGGTGGGTGTATCCCAAGTCCCTTCTGCCATCCTCCTGGGAGCTCAGGTTTGCTGAGTGCTCACTGTCTGCATGCTGAGCCCCATCCTCAGACTTTGGGACAGGATTTCACTAACCCTTATGAGAGCACCACAGGGTGGGTACCAGAACAGTCCCTATTTTGCAGATGGGAAAACCGAGAAGTGCGGTGACTTGCCCAAGGTCACACAGTTGCAACCCAGCAGAGCTAAGGTTCAAACTTGATCATCAAGCTCCAGAGTGCCTAACAGCTCACCACTCTGCTTCTGCTCACAAGATGCAGGGGGAATCCCTGGACTGAGCTTGCCCCCCAAGTTGCACAGTCCCCTGTGGAAAGAGACTCAGAGACTCCCACACTGTACTCAGATGCTTCTACTGGGAAGAGGTATGTCATCTGCTCACGTTTCATTGGCCAAGGCAAATCACGTGATCCTGCATGACCTGCTCAGGAAGGGAAGGAAAATCAGATATAGTGGCGATCACAGTAATATTTCCCACACTCCCCCACATCTCCTGGTAGATGGAGGCTGGAGAAGTGGCTGAGGGGTGCCAGGGCTCCTGTGGCCACATGGATACAGGATACCTCGTGCTTCTAGATCCAACCTAGAGAGGCAGAGATGCAGTGGCCCAGAAACCAAGCAAGGAGACGCCCCAGCCAGCCCTCTCTAAGCATGTCCCTAATTTAGAAACAAAGTCCAATAAGACTGTCTGTTCAAGGAAAACCATCAATAGAACCTGGTCACTGTCCCCTCAGAGCGACTCTCTCCCTACACCCCTTCCTGGATGGTGAGGGAGACAACCCATCTCTTTAGGGGAGAAATGACCACAGGGCATCCTACCGAGAGGGTTTCCTGCACAGGACAGCTCTGAACACAGCTGTTCTCCACCCTCGCATCAGGAGGTCACTAAAGAACAAGGATATTGGAGTTGGAAGACGGGGGCGCAAGCTCCATCTCTGTTGTTTGATTATGAGGCCCTTCCCTTTCTGAACCTTCGCCTTTCTCCCTCTGTACAATGGATCACAATAATAGTAACTGCACTCTGTGATGAGTGTGAAGATACTAAGTAAGATTTTTTTCCTGAGATGGATTAGCCCTGGGATTGCATACAGGAAGTGCTCGTTACGTGCTCACTGTGGTTAGTAACGGCAACTCGTTCCTGAATTGGGACCCACTGGAACCCCTTGCCACTGGTCAGAGGACAAAGCGGGATGCTCAGCATGTCTCCTGGGGACACCTCCTACAGCAAAGGCAAAGGCCATTCCCAGAGAGAGCTCCATGTCCAGGCAGAGTCAGAGGGCCTATGTAGGGCAGTTTTAGGAGAGTTATTTGATCCAGATTCTAGCCTTAAGATGGTGCAGAAGTATCGAATTCCTGGGGCCAGCAGGTGGCATGGTAGTTAAGGTGCTGGACTCTCCCACGTGGCTGATTGTGGTTTGAGTCCTGGACATGGACACTTGAAATCACACCGGATACATGTGCATCCATGTCCAAAATTCGAGGAGGAGAATGGAGAAGGTGGGATTGTAGTATGGCCATTCTCCCTGGGGGACGACTTCTCACTTTCCTTCTCACTGCTCTCTCTGGTGAGTGCATGTACCCTATGGCAAAAACCTTTAAAAAAAAAAGAAAAGAAAAAGAAAGAAAGAGAGAAAGAAAGAAATATTAAAATCCCTTTTACACAATAAATATTTTTCTCCTAGTGATTTTTTTAAGAGTTGTTTATTTGTTTGTTTTGGTTTTGGTTTTTTAGTCTTGTTTTCTTTCACTTAACTATGTTTTGGTTTTGATTTTTTAGTCTTGTTTTCTTTCACTTAACTATTAGCAAGCTAAACTATTGTGTTGTCTGGTCCAATAGCAGACCTCTGGCTGGTCATTCATTCATTCTTTGCCTGACAATGTTTCAGGCACTGGGAATTCTATACTTGACAAGGAAGGTAGGGCTCCTGCCTGCGTGAAGCTTAGATTCTAGTCCATAGGACAGACCTTAAGTAATAAGTCTATATAAGCAATAGTAAGTAAATAAACAAACATAGAGACCATTTTGAGATTGTCTTGAGGGCTGCAAATGGATTGAACTGGGGTACATATCCGAGAGGTACCCCTGGGAGGTCAGCGATGGTCTCTCTGAGGAGGAAACGTGTCATCAGAACGCTTCCCCTCCCCAGGATCCGGGATTTCTGTCTCTGCTTCATTCCTTGGTAAGGCCCAAACCTGAGCCCCTGTTGGGGGAAGGACTCAGAGAGAAGCAGGTGGGGCTTTCTGACCAGCCTGCCCTGGAAGAGCTAGAGGGGCAGAAGTCCCACCTTAGAGGGCAGTGACTGGGGAGGAAGCCACTAGGTCCCTGTCATGGCTGTGTCCCCACCTTCCAGGGCATTAGAATCACCTCCTATAAATCCTCATGAATTCATCTGCTCATTTCCACCTCAGCTTCGTTCTGGCACTGTTCCCATCCTCTGTCCCCTGGACCACCGTTCCAATGTCTTCAAAGGTTCCCTCGCTTTTACTCCCACTCCTACTCTTCATTCTCCACTCAGCAGGCAGATGATCTTTTTAAAATTACAGATCCAACCACCTCCCTGTCCTGCTTCAAGCCCTTCCACAGGCTTTTCATGGCACGTAGGACAAATTCCAGACCCTTTACCTCTGCCCACAAGGCCGTATGGGGTCTGTCCCTTTCCTAGATCCTTTGCTCCCTGGTCTTTTGCTGGACAGGAGCAGTGAAGCCCTCCTTAGCCCACTCCTATCCCTTTCTCTGGAGTCCTGCACCAAACTGGGTCAGAGATATTGCAATGCATTCTTATCCTTCAACAAGTTTGATTTAGTATGTTATTTAAGTTTAAAAAAAAAAATTGGGGAGGGAATTATGGATAACTTATTTCATTCTCCATCAGTTGTGATTTCTCAAAAGTCAAAGGATATGCCCAGGCCTTGCAAAGTTAAACAATGGAAGTACTTGGGAGAGTAGGGAAGGAGGAAGAAACATGGCTGGGTCAGGTTAGGAACTGGTTAGAGAAGCACAGGGTTGAGGGTCTGGAGGACAACAGACGGTCTGGAAGGTTGCGCTTCTAGGGAAGAGGAGTGAGGCATGATGGAATCAGTCTGCTGGTTCAAGAGAGGGGCCTTGGTGCCTGGACTGGGGGTTCAGGCCTTGGGCCACACCCTCCTGCTGCCCATGATGATACAGAACGAGCTGTCACCACATCCCAGACTGGCAATGACAAAGCCACATGGAAGGCTGTTTAACTTTAAATACAAGAGGAATGTCTACTAAGTCTCTCCGCCAATTTGGGGTGATGCTGAGGTTTCACTCATGCCCAAAGATGCTGTCACAGACGCAGATGGTCCAGGGCCTGCCTGTGAGCTCCGTGGGCTCCTTGAGCACCAAGTACCACAGGTCTTGTGGCAGAATGTGCGAGAAGGCCTCTCGGGCCTCTCTGCTGACTCCCAGCTCAGTTGTAGTTGACAAAAACAAGCTCGGACAGCCTCCCAGGGAGCTTGCTTTGTCTGTTTCTGCTACGAATCTCTAGGAGGAAACCATCTCAAAACTCACTATGTGTCAGAACATAAAACACAATTTTAGCTCCTTCACAGATACTGTGGTCTGGCCCACATGTCTAGAATCCCAACTGGGAAGACACAAACAGCTGGGGGTGACTGGCCAGTGAGGGCTGAGGTCCTTGGCGGCTTCTTCCTTCATCTGCCAGGTGGTCGGTGCTGGCTGACTGTCAGCAGGACAGAGGAAGCACGGGGAAGCTGCGTGGCACTTTGACCACCCCGTCTGGGAAGTCGTGTTGTATTGCTTCTGTTTACGCTCAGTCGAGGCAGTCGCAAGGGTCCAGGTTCTTCCAAAGGGTCATTTCCTTCATCTTGTCACAATGTCATGGAGCCTTGAAAGTGCTAAACCCATACTCACCAGTTTGTCTCCCAAAGAACAAGACAGCAACACCCAAAGAAATGCCTCTGGAGGACATAGACTAGAACTCCACAAACTTTTTGGAAGAATAGTCAGCATCTCTCACCCAGCTGTCAACAATTCCAAAAGGTGGCTCTGGGGACCTGGGAAATCTCAGGTGGCACACCTCCCCTAGAGCACTCTCTGGGTAGCTGGCAGCTGGCCCGAGCAAGGCCACTCTCCTGGGATGCCTCACCCAAATACTGGCAGGTACTCATCTCGCTGGGACCTCCAAAGGTTATAGTCTACTCAGTGAGAAGTAAGAGGACAAGTAGACACTGCCAAATTTTTGGAGTTTATTGATTAAGCTGACAGCATATGAGGGGACGCATGGGCTTCAGCCCTAAGTGTAGGGAGAAGGGGGCTTATAAAGGCAAAAACCACATTTGGATCGATGTGGCAGGAGCAGTAATTATTGAATAGGGGGAGGCAACAAGAGGGAGGAGTGGCAATTCCTATGCATAAGCAGTTACAGAACCCAGATCAAGCCAGTCAATAATCTCTAGACCT